GATGGTGTCATGTAGCTTTGTGCATCTTTGCTGTGTAATGACCCCTTGTTTCTTCCTTTTTGGTGCTTCAAGCCATCCCTATATCCCCCTTTCATTTTGAAGAAATGATTTTTCCACTTGTTGCCTATACAGCTCTGCTCCAGTAGTATCTCCCAGTTTTGGATCAAGATTCATTAGAGCCTCATCATGTTTTATGAGCAGCACAAGGGTATAGGGGTCAACTCTCATTGAAATCTGATGAAATACAATTAAGTTGCCAGGTAGATGGTACAATGTGAGTTTAGAGGTATCAATTCACACAGGAGAGGGAGCCAGAAGGAATAAGACCTGAAGCGATGAGATTTGTAAGTTGCCCTCCAGTTCTAGAATAGTTTGGGCTATGACATGGGCAGTTTAAAGCATGGATAGTCAAATGACAGTATAGGCATACAACTCTACTAGGAGAGTGTTGAACATTGTTTGGCGAGTAGTAGCGACCCAATTGGGAGAGGGCTGAGCACATGAGCCTGTGTTGTCAGCCTGGTTTAGAAAGTGGTCCAAAGAAATGGAGCAACTTTATGGGATGTAGAAAGTTGCACATGCTGAGAATCGAAAGGTCGACGATTTGTTCGGTCCTGGAACATGTAGAGTAGCTCATCAAAGAACTGGAATATAACAACATACAGTAAAAGCGGAGTTCAAGCCCTCCAACCTGCACTAAGAGGAGTTGCCTTCACTTATAGTATTTCCGCTTACTCCGCGTAGTATTGCAGCTGCCTCAGCGATCTAAGATCGGACACGTCTAGCCGCACATACGCATCAAACCGACCCACGTTTGGACTCCCTCCTTGCTTTGGAAGCTATAGGCGTAAGTTTTAACCCTTAGCCAGCCACGGGCATATATGCCCAGAGCGTCCATAAGTCCAAAAGAATTTATATAGGGCTATAATACAGTATTAGCACTGTACTGTATTATAGCGCTATATAAATTCTTGTGGACTTATGGACGCTCTGGGCATATATATATGTGCCGCTCGAACGAACGACTAGATTGGCTAGCTCCTGCTCGCCAGTGGTGGACCACGACAGACGTGCTGAAAGCGTAAAGGTAACTACCGTTCTGCTCACCGTTCTGGCAATATACAGTACGCATGTAGGTAGCTCTGTCTTGCTTCACGAAAGGAAAGCTTGACGGCACGTTATGCAGCCCCAACATCGCGGGAAGTTGGGTCGCTCCCGTTCGCCATGTTCAACATTTTACCCTCGGCGCGCAGGCGCAGCGAGGGTACGGTAGTTAACCCTCGGCGCGCATGCGCAGCGAGGGTTACAGTAGTTGGGTTTGTCTGTACGTACGAGTGTGTGTGTGTGTGTGTGTCTGTCTGTTACTCTCAATCTCACTTCTCGAATGTCTGTTCGTCTCACAAAGGATACGACCTACTTAACGGGCAATAAAGGTCAGAAATGTCGGACGGTTTTCTCTGAAAATGCTCCGTTGCAAAGCTAGAGCGCATCCGGCATTGTATGGCTAATGCCGGTAGACGCCATTTTATCGCTCCGGAAAATGCGCATGCGCTTATATTCAGGATAGACTTACCTCGACCGGGTCCGCTTGCTCTGTGTATCTTGAAGGCACAAGAAGTCACAACGAATGGCGTGTATCGACTCTCGCATGCTATCTATTGCTGTAGCTAGCCCGTGTCAGACTCTCTGCGAGCTACTAGCGGGAGACCGCGAGTAAACGCACACTAATAACCCAGCCCATCAATTAGCGGTACCGCGCATTTGCAGTTCGCCGAGGGTTTGCACTTTAGTGCTTTTCATTGGGTCTGTGTGTCTGTGTGTCTGTGTGACTCCAGTGTCTGTCTGTCTGTTACTCAACATCTCACTTCTCCAATGTTCGTTCGTCTAACAAACGATAAACGGGCAATGAAGGTCAGAACCTTCGAGCGGTTTTCTCTGAAAATGCTGCGTTCGAGAGGAAACAAGGGCGAAAAAGCCAATATTTATAGCACGGCTTACCTCGGTCTGATCTGCGTACATCGGAGTTGCAACGCAGGGCGTGTATCGCCTTCTCATGCTATCAAGTAGTGTAGCTAGCTCCTGTCTCACTCTCCACGAGCAGGCAAGAGACCACGAGTATATGCGGTGGTATAACCCAGCCCATCAATTAGTGGTACCGCGCATGCGTTTACGTGCGCGTATAATTATAGTGCGCCGAGGGTGTGCACTTCAGTGCAGTCATAATTAGAAGTTCAGGCCGTTGCAACGACAATGTGAATGAATGTAACTAGTGGAAATGCTTGGCATTCTTTGGGCAAGCGGAGCGAGCCTTATGTGTACTGCAACTCAAGTATATGCAACCATCATCATTATTTTACTAGCGATAATATAATTATACCTATGGTATGGGGGGAGATTAGTGTCAAAATTACGCACACCAACGTCCGTTAAATTTTGGGTACACACTTTTTTTTATTAGGGTACCCAGTTCTCATTCTGGTACACACACTTTTTTATTTGGGCACCCAGTTTTCATTTGGGTATATATACTTTTTTATTTGGGTACCCAGGTTTCATTTGGGTACACACTTTTTATTTGGGTATATATGCACCATCAATACAGGCAGACCAGCAAATCTACTCCACATGCGTAAAGCATCCAGCATCTAAGTACAGCGATCGGCTGCGATCTCTATTTGACGCACACTCTCGGCAGCCGGCCCATCCGTTTCGCCAGCTTCCCCGGCCTTCTCCGCTCCTACCATGCATGCCTCCTACTTGATAATATGTCCACGTTTCACGCTCATAGTTGCCGCAGTTACCGAGAAAAACGGTGGACAGGCAGACGGACGGACACGCACAGACCGACTGCAATAAGGGTATATACCCTCGCTGCGCGCGCAGGCGAGGGTTATTGCAGTCGGTCTGTGTACAGTGTGTGTCCGTGTCCCGTGTGTGTCCGTCTGTCCACCAGAGAAAACCGCTCGAAGGTTCTGACCTTCATTGCCCGTTTGTCGTTTGTTAGACGAACGAACATTGGAGAAGTGAGATGTTGAGTAACAGACAGACAGACACTGGAGTCACACAGACACACAGACCCGTTTTTCTCGGTAACCAAATAAAAAAAGTGTGTACCCAAATAAATAAGTGTGTACCCAAAATAAAAAAGTGTGTACCCAAAATTTAACGGACGTTGGTGTGCGTAATTTTGACACGAATCTCCCCCCATAGAACGGTACTTACCTTATGCTTTCAAGTCGTGGTTCACCAGGCAGCTGGCATGCAGCAGTATCTGCACGAGCAATCCTAGCTTACTTTGAAGTTGCACCTTCGAACCATGAAAATTGGGAAGAGGTACAGCCTCGGTCAGTCACTGAAGGTTGCATCGCATGCTGTCGAATGGAGGAAAATTCTCTGGCGGCGCATATCGCGAGGCAGAATGTGTGTTGAAAATGATTTCGGATAAAAAGAAGCGCTTAAGAAGCCGCGCATGCGCACTTACACGACGTACCAACGACGATATATAATTATACCGAAAATTCCGCTCGAACGTATACTAGTGGAAATGTTGAACATTGTTGGCGAGCGGGAGCGACCCAACTTGGGATTTGTCTGCGATGTTCGGGCTGCATAACGTGCCGTCAGCGCACAGCTTTCTTTTCGTGAAGCAAGACAGATCTACCTGTCGCCGTTACATGCGTATTGTATATTGCCAGAACGGTGAGCAGGTGAGCAGAACGGTCCTTACCTCACGCTTTCAGCTTGTCTATCGTGGTCCACCAGGCAGCTGGCATGGCAGTAGGCTAGGCAGCGATCGATCGGGCTGCCCGACAACGTCCATCAGGTAGCTGGCATGCAGCAGTATGTGCACGAGCAATGCTAGCGTATTTGCAGCTTGGAACCATGAAGACTGCAGCCTCGGTCAGTCACCGAAGGTTGCAGAGCATGCCGTCGAATAGAGGAGAGTTCTCTGGCTGGCTAGATCGATCGGCGCATATCGAGAGGCATGTGTGTGAAAATGTGTAAAAAGTTGGAAATAATTTCGGATAAAAAGAAGCGCGTACAAAGCCGCGCATGCGCACTTACACGACGTACGAACGCATATATATATATTTAAGAAGTGCGTAATCCTGGAGCATGCGCACTTACACGACGTACGCGGTCGTATAAAATTGAAAAATCGCGCCGTTTAGACAACTAGGTTAGCTCGCTCCCACTCGCCAATAATATATATATATATAGAAAATTCCACCCGGAGCAACCACTAGGTGGGCTCACTCAATTATATGTGAATGAATGTAATTATAGCACTGCCTAACCTATGAATATTTAAAAATGATGCAATATAAAGCACGAGGTGCAAATAGCTAGGTATATATAAGTATAGCTAATGCAATAGACTTACATAATTTGATCGTACTTCAGCGTAGTGGAACACAAGGGAAAACACAAGAATAGGTTATAGAAAATTGAGCAAAAAACCATTGTAAGTTAACTAACTAGAGAGCAGACAAAGTTTTTAAGTCTGTGTGTGTGTCTGTCTGTTACTCTACATCTCACTTCTCGGCTGTTTGTTCGTCTCACAAAGGATACGACCTACGCAATGAAGGTGAGAAATACAGCTATCTTGGTTTTGGCTGCGTGTGAGGAAACCATAGCTATGCCCCTCGCGCTAAGAGTTACCCATGAACTTGTGCAATGTGGGAACGGCAGGCGTGATTTCTTTGAACTGCTGCAGTAGGTTGTGTGTGCATTATAGATCTACGTCGGGGACGATGTGCCGTAAAATTTACAAGTGTAGCGCGTGGATAATCTATAGCTACAGTGGTGTGCACATAGAGACTGTAACTTGTATTTTTTGGCGTTTTGGCTCATAACTCAGTCGTACTACATGCTATGCACTCAATATACACATCAAAATGATCTCCAACCTACGCTGATGCAATCTATGCTGTAGCTCCGCCGATAAGGTTGTACATACGTCATCGCTTGCGTCACGTGCGCCTTAGAGTGGTTGTATATAATTATGCTCGCCCGACCGAGGTGTTATTTTTACGAGCTATAGCAACTGATTTCGACTGAAACTTATCGATGTTTGCCTTTTGATCGATTTTATAATTTGCTGCCGATATTTTCAAACATCGCTCTCTTGCCTCCCAAACATCGATTTTATTACTCGTCCACACGCCACCGATATCGCTCATTGAGCGGTTTTCGCTCCCCTGGTTTTGAGCGAGTGCCGCTCAACGAGAGGTCGTAGGCCCCAAATTTTTTGTGTAGAGTGATGCACCAACCTTTTCCCTTCAACTGCAGCAAGTTAATAGCCACGTGTGCTATGGTTGGCAATCACTATAAACGCTTCTAGCTAGCTGACATGCACAGAATCAAGGTATGTGTCGTTGGTGCCATTTCCAGCTTACAAGGAATTTATAAGAAATGATTTACATACAATGCGTAGCATGATGTTGGTACTTCAGGAAAATGCTTGGTGTCCGGTGAATAGAGCATGATACACACATGCATGTCAATTTTCATGCAACTATAATAGCCGTTGCTCTCATCTCTTCTCACTGGAGCTGTTTCTGTATGTTGGGATAATCAAACAGAAAAGTTATATGAAAAAACGTGTTTATAGCATACTAGCTAAAAGGAGGAAAATAAAGAACCTCCCCCACCAAAGCACACAAAACACAGACAATAACATACCCAAGCATACAAAAACACAGACAGTAACATAATTATAAACAGAAAGAAAGAGGCAGGACCCTGGGTGCCCAGCCTTGAGAACCGGGGCGGTAGGTTAAAGAGTCTTTTATTGGCCCAAACATATGTACTCTAAAGGGAGAACATCCAATGGCCCCGGCTCTCCAACTGTGTCCATTGTTTGGTTTGGTGGTGAACACGCTACTTTTCACACGAGACCGGCTTGCACACAAGCATATACTCATTTTACTGTTGTCGCTAAAATTATAGTGATGCCCATTCTTGTGCATTCAATTAAAGAATGTTTCTGGGAATGCTCACCAGCACATTGTAAGTAACTGTAGCTTATGCCAAGGAAAGTAGGTTAAAACTGAAATGATATTGTTATAGTTAGCTCTACATATCTCTTTTTATAAATGAACATCCTTAAGAGTTGCAGATGGAAGAGGCACGATGCATGTCAGTGCTTCTGATTCTATATTGTCTCTCACACTAGATCTTCATGCAGGGAGAATTGGTGTGGTAAACTTTGAAATGTATAGAGCGGTTTAATAGATAAACAAGTTTATTATTCTGTTTTCGTAGGAACTGCTCTTGGTGTTGCTATTACTTGCATTTCTTCATTCACCAGGAATATCAGGTAATCTGTTGATATCAATGCCCCAGAAGATTGAACTCATTTCCCTAGGAAAGCATTACTACGCAATGAGGGAAATGCTCAAACCCATCATCCCCCTCATTTTCAGGAAAGCATCCTTTATATTGGGTAGTGAGCTGTGGGAGGATAAATTTGGTTCTTTGCTTCGCCTTGTTAAAGGTTTTATTTCGGATGTTTGGGAGCTAAGAAAGGTTAGGTTATATGGCGATAATCCCAGCGTACAACAGACCCAGTCTCAGATTGTGTCTGGGGGGCTGCAGGGTGTCGCTGGTGGAAGGGGTGAGTTGAGGTGTCTGCTGGGAGGTGAGACAGACACCTCATGTTCATATGGTGTATGTTCGTTTGTTAATGGTTCCGCCCATTGCTCTGGGTGCGTGGTCTATGGCCCTAGTGCTATGGCAGCCACCTGAGTATTATTATTATTACTACACAATGAGGGATATCAATGAGCTATATACACACTAAGAAATATGCATAAATCAGGCAACCCTCTCAGTATGCTGACTGGATTGAAACTACCGTAGGGCTGATACATTAGAAATCCACCCATCGCCACAATCCGCGCTTTTTTCATATGCACACCTAGCTATACATCAGTCTTCATCGTGTATAATCAATAAAATTGTGTTAAATCACCCCAAGAAGGGTTTATAAGGTGAAATAAAAAGCACTGAAGTGCAAAACCCTCGGCGAACTGCGCATGCGCGGTACTACTAGACACACAGACAGACAAACCAACTACTACAACTCTCGCTGTACATGCGCGCCGAGGGTTAATAAGACAAACCTCCGAGATGAGGACGACCTCTCTACAGGGACAAATGTCGTTGACCCTATCTCGGAGGTTCCACTGTACCGTAATTTTTTCCTGTATTTAATCATCCACCAAGAATTCTTTTTCATATTCACCTATCCTTGACAGATAATAAAAAATATTATATTACTGGTCAATGCGGAGATAGTAATGTCACAAAGACACACCACCTTAAGAACTGGACACGAGGAATCCTAAAGATTGATGTAACCTGTAGGAATGCAGGAAATGAACCAGAGTTGCATCCATTTAAACTTTCAAGGATTGCTTGCAATAAAACGTTGGATGTGTGCAATATTGTGCACATTAACTGTATTGGAGAGCACAATGTTGTAAATATTATTTGGAAGAATTTTGAAAAGAAAAATAACGGTACTATGGTTAGTGTGAGCTTTAAAAGACATACTACAATCTATCAGCTTCGTATGAAAGGTAAGGTGTACAATAGAGAACTAAGCAGTCAATAATCTTTTCTACTCTATATAGGTTTTCGTTGTGAATCAAATTTAGAATCCGAATCAATCGGGGAAGATCTGATTATAACGTTTAATAGTCTAGACTGTAATGGGAATTTCAGTCTCCAAAGATCCTCTCTTGTCGTTTTCAGTGATGTTAAGATGAATTCAATAAGAAGCCCCCTGGTAAATAATTCGAGCCAGCTTATGTTCAGAGGTGTTCCACCTGGATCCTACACTGTCATCATAACCAATGATTGTGGGGAGCACTTTCCTCTTAAAAATATATTGAATCATTATTGGAATTCATCAGGTATCATCATTATAGTTTGCATGCAACATCTCTATAGTTACTTCCACCTACAGGAGTGTCTCCAGCTACTTCGAATTCCTGTGGTTTACCTGCGATAATATTTCTGAGGTATAGTCTAAACGCTAAACTTGTGCTATGCTGCACGGTAGCGATTGACCAGGTTCATAAAACAAGCAGTAAGCTTGCCTCCAGTTTCTCTCACTAAGCTCTGCTTAATTATGAGTGTAATCATCCGTAGATGCTTTCCTTGCAGTTTTTTGGCCCTGATCTTCAGCAAGTAGCAGAAGAGAGGCTCCATATCAAAACTTGCATGCATGTCAAGCCATTGTGCTTTGGTTAGTGCAAGAAACAATAAACATTCGCTCAGATAGTGAGCATGCGTAATATTATGCTGTGTTATCACTGTTGTCACCATGATGGTAAATGCACATCAGTTGTTTTATCTGCATAGGGATAGCGGTGGCAGACCTATCACAATAACACTACAAATGCCGCAACTAAAAACTCATTTATATCGGCGCCACAAGGCGGAGGACGAAAACCGCAACATACCGACCAGAATTCCATTGCAAGGGTTAGGCTCATTTGGCCACTGATAAAAATGTGATTTACACTATACGGAGACATTCAAACATCACAAAACTCTAGTCCCTGGAGAAGTGAGTCACCAGTTCTTGTGTCCACCGGGTCTCATCAATGACCGTGTAACTCCGAGACCTCACAAACTCCCCCAGCCCCAGCAAAGCCTCTATCATCTCCGTCCTCCTATAGAACAGAATTGACGACCCTGAGTGATAGAGAACAGACTGACAACTGTGAGTGATAGAGAACAGACTGACGACTGTGAGTGCTTGAGAACAGACTGGCAAATACTTCAGTCCCACTGTCTCCATAAACTCCAGTACTTTCTGAGGTTTGTTGCACTGCAGTCGACTCATGACGTACACACCTAGTCCCACAATGTGGCCGTGAATGAAGCTCTTTTGCAGTCTCTTCTCGAGGGCATAGAACAGGTAGTGTTCAGAGCCTTCCGCCACACGATAGTGACCAGCAGGTTGACAGATGGTGTTGACAGTCATGTACACCCTCACAAGGCTCTCAATGCCTGCATCGCTGACTATAGCTACGTCGTTTGCCTTGCTCATAACCTCTGCTAGAATGGACCTCGCTTTATCAACAGGAGACAATGGGTACTCGGATTTGCCAGCTTTGTGTGCTAGTTCCCACTCGCAAGTTGCAGTGCATCGATAGAATGTCGCCCACTCCTGCAATGTTGAGGTCCCTGGGAGCCGTCGAGATGGGGTCAGTCGAAAATTAGAGGGTCGGGGCTCGTTTTACCCACATAGACCACCTCACTGCCCCTACGTACTGCAGCAGAGGGGGTCAACACTAACTACAGTGGGCCGGGATAGTGACTAGTCTACAGCCCTTCCTCCAGGAGAAATACTTTGCCTCGTCCACTGCCTGCCCTCCACCGACCCCCACGAAAGTATGGCATTGCGCCAGAGACTCTAACTGTTGCTCAAGCTCCTCCGTCGTTCCCAAGAGGAGCCCCTCCCACCGTCTTCCTGGCCAAACTCCACGTAACAGACATTGTGCAGACAATGAAGCGCCCCAGGGATTGCTTTTCTGCAGCTCTCTTTGTTGTACCTCGCCCGCACAGGAAGGACTTGACGTTAGTGTCCGCCAGGGACATCCTTTCCCTGTGAAAACCTGTGCACGTTCGGTGTTCCATTTAGTGCCCCCTTTACTAGTGTCCCTACACAAATCCTCCATTCTGAACCGCTGATTTCGAGACCGTTCCTTTGGGCCACGTTCCAGTTTCGATGCGAAATTGCACGTGGGCGCGCGAGATTTTGGGTGTGGCGGCGCGGCGGCGGCACACTAGCTTGCATTGGCAACATCTGTCAGTGTCAGTGAATTCCCCAAGGGGCGTTGTATAAACCGCCTCGGTTAGAGAAGCTTTAACCCTCAGATGACTCAACTATACATTTAACTCCTTTCTCACCGAATTTTTATTTGCTTAGTGATGCGCATTACAATTTTACGCAATACTTTACACATGTTTTCTGTACAACTGTGACAATTACATAATGTAAAAGTGATGACAACAAACCAAACAAAAATTAATTAAGCACAATTTCCTTAGATACAGTAGTGTATGTAACACACACACATGTAACAAGCTACATAATCAGTGAGGATAAGGAAAGTGCATGTTTTTACAGCAATTTTGTTCAAAGCTAATTTCTGTGTTTGCTTGGAATCTATGGACATTCCTACTGACCTGCAGGAGAACACACACAATCACACACAGTAACAATTGTCATCTCTTTACCACTTAGTTAACTCTGAGCTGTATATAAACTGGGAAAATAGTGTGTGTGTGTGCGTGTGTGTGTGTGGGGGGGGGAGGTGTAAAGTGGGGGACAAAGGGACTATCTGAGAGTTTCTGAAGGAGTTTTGTCTAGCAGCAAGTGCGATAGGGGAGAGTGTTTAGAGTGGTGTGGTGTGCTGTTGATGAACGCACATGTGACTACAGTAGAGCGGCCTCCTCACCACTGCTAGAGTGCTGTCTCTTCGACTTTGAGGAAGGGACTTTGTGACGAGGTTCATGGGACACTGTGTCATACATGTCACCACCTCTAGCAGAGCTGCCACTAGCCTTCATCTGGGTCTGGGTGGAGGGGAGAGAGAGAGAGAGTGTAATAGAGCACACAGTAATGATGTAAATTGGGACGGTACCATGTAAGATTACATAGCTGGCTTAGCAGTCAGCATTAGCACAGTCTACAAGTCTCTATGCACTCAGTGGCTGTGTATACAATAGAAGGGCACTTTTCATGCTTCACTGCCACCAAAGCGGTTTGCTATACACACTCCAGTGCTGACATGATAGTACCCAACAATGTTCACATGCACACCACCATACAGACACAGTTAAGGCACGTGTAGTCATGTACTCTAACCTTGTATATTCAGAGGAGCCAGGATCAGCCACAGGCGTCTTCTTGCCGCTGTGGTCCAGTTTACCGTAGTGATCTGGTTCTTCTGACTGCATCTGGGTCTGTGAGGTGAAGTTGGATAAAATCGCATCCAGAACACATTATAGTCCATACAGGTGTGGGTCAGGTGGTGGAGTGATCACATATATACAGTGCATGGAAGTGTGACTGACCCTGTCAAGTTTCCCATACTCAGCCTCACCAACTGCTGGAGCAACTGTAGCAGTCTTCTTGCCACTGTGGTCCAGCTTCCCATAGTGAGCTGGTTCCTCAGCACCACCACGCTGTGTGGAGTACAATAGCAGTATTATTGTAATGCATAGATCCAGGGATGACTTCACAAAGGGTGGGTACTGATAATAGTATTCAGTGTCCAAAAGACAATGCATATGGAGGAACTGCCTGATCGCCAAGCCAAATTCCACCACTGCCAATACACAGTGTACTCTGCACTTACACACAGTATAGTATGAATACCACCAATAAGAGCACTGCATGCATGAACAGTATACAGTTTGTATAGTCTACACATGAATCTATTTATAGAAAAGGTGTGGGTATGAGCATGGAAGAACATTCACATACATGGAGAATCACTGTACATGATGTTGCCCACATTATGAAACTACAGCTTCCTTAATGGGTCTGTATGCATATCCTGTGACTAGTAGCTTTAGATCAATGCCACGAATGGTCATATGTACAATGGACACCCCACTAAAGGGAAATCACGAGGAAACAAGTGAGGAATAGAAAATGTTAAGTGCTTGGTGTGGGCAGGGAGTACAACAGCACATTTACTACATGGTTTGTACACATCTGTGAATGATAGGCCTCTAGCTGCACCGTTTTATAACTTTGTAAGTGGAAAGTGGTCGAGCAAGTCTATTTAACCAACCTGTCTTTGTGTGTGTGTGTATTCTGTAAGTATTTATACTTCTGTGGACATTTCACAAACGTGAAAATGCACATTGGTTGCTCAGAACGACACACTCACAACATCTCGTATCACACACTGCACTATAGGTAGCTATGTATGCATGTACAATTATACCTTTTCAAGTTTTTTATAGGCTGGGTCAGTGTCACTCAGCAGCTTCTGGGTAGGTTGCGTGTTACGCTGTATGACATCATATGTTTCACTCATTTCTATGGGCTCATGATCACCACTGCAGTGAAAAAGAAGACACCCGTAATAAGTTTGGATACAGTAGCAGATGCAATGCAGCCAAGTTGACTTCAACCACTGACACACACACCATAATAATGACTGACATCAGCAAGAGCTGTAGCAATATCATAACGTACCCATCAGGTTTCTCCGGCTTTGAGTGGTATTTTTTGTATATCGCATAGAGAGAGATAGACCAGCCAGAACAAGAAGATGAGCAGGGAAATGACGAAGCTAGCCGAAAATAGTCCATCTCTGACAGCATTACTTCCACTGGGACTTTTACGCAAAGAATTGCCATCTCTATAATCTCCACCATCAACTGTGAACTCTGATACAAAACAGGTTATGCGAACGTTAGTTATTCTACAGTGAAACAGAAATCAAACTCACCATTTATACCTGCATAGATGAAGGATGCAACCCACGGAATAGCCTCTAAACCAGGCAGCACTATTGCAAGTATTAACGGAGGACACAGCATCATCAGAATGACACATCGAATCCAACATGGGCAGCAGCAGCTTAGGATACACAATCGGCAGCACCGTTTGAGAGCCTCTGCAAGCAGGGATCATAATTATAAAGTTTGATGTCGGGATAAGTAATGGCTTACCTTTTCCACCTTCCTTTGTAGCTCCCTGTGGCCATGATAGCACTACCACTACAATAGAAATAACCACTCCGGCAAGGAAGAGTAAGAGCCCCAGTGCTATCAGTACAATGTCGGCAGTACTCAACTGCTTGAGTGGAGAGGCTGCAACAGACAGAGAGATTTTTAACCATTAATGTTTGGTCCAGGAGAACTCTTTACCTGGTTTTATAGTCGGTATCTCTCCACTCCATGACAGGTTAGCACCACATGTTCTCTCAGGTGGAAAATCACTTGGAATACAGTATCCGTTAGTAGTAGTGTAGTTCGCAGTACTGCCAATGGCAGTACCACTGTATGAAGTACATAGATCATCACAACACATCATGCTCTTTACAGTTGGGTTGTTACAGAGCGTCAGCTCATCCACAGGACACGCTGAGAAAACAGAGGGGTAATTATCATATCAAATGGCAGCCACCATAGACCAAAGTTTATTGTCTGTCGCAACAATAACACCCAACTTTGTGTACAATGAGGTAGAGTTTGAGATTAGTCATGCCACTCACTTGCATTCATGATCACCAAATCAGGATGGGTCCAACTGCCATTATTCTCGCATCTCCTCTCCAGGCTTCTAACTCCATCGATTATATATTCTTCTGAAATATTGTATGTGGCAGTAGATCCCAGGGACACTCCATTGTAGGTCACATTTCCACCAGGAAATGAATAGACACCCATTCCATCAGCTGTAAAATCTGGCATTGCTGTCCAGTCAACACCAGGGAACAGTAGGTCTTCTGGAGAACAAACTGAAGAAGAGGACAAATGTTAAGGCTCAGCGATATTGCATGAAATTATAGTTCATAGCATACCAGCCATAGGTCATGGGATTTTAAATTATGCACAACACATGTGCAAAGAACAACGTTAATTGATGGTGCTGAACCCGCTAGTATCACTTTTTGGCTGGCTTGTTGTTTGCGGTAGCAGAACAGACAGAGAGAAAACTTAAAAACCAAGTATATACCGTAACCCTCACTGAGCATGCGTACTGAAGGTTATAACAGTGGGCTATGTTTAAACAAAGATCAGCACTCTCCGAAAAGCCTAACTACTGTATATACATGCACATAGACAACACATCAAAAATAAATAGTTACATTTTAGCTCCCGTATACAGATTGCTGGGAGTATAATTGTCTCCCTGTTTGCTTACGTGAGGATAGGTTCTCCGGATTTATTCTCTGAGTGACACATCCCACCACATCCACAGCCACAGTAGAGGAAGAAGTGAGAGAGTTTGATCTATAGACGTAGCCACACATCTCTCTACCACAGTTCTCCTCGCTCACGTCAGAAACAACTTCCTCATCATCAATTATCAATTTGTAGACAGTCTCGTTACTGAGGACCTGTTCAATGATACATTATACAAGTGGAAAAATCATTTCTTCAAAATGAAGGGGTGATATAGGGATGACTTGAAGCACCAAAAAGGAAGAAACAAGGGGTCATTACACAGCAAAGATGCACCAAGCTACATGACACCATCCCTATCAATTCGTCAAAGATATAGGGATGGTGTCATGTAGCTTTGTGCAACTTTGCTGTGTAATGACCCCTTGTTTCTTCCTTTTTGGTGCTTCAAGCCATCCCTATATCCCCCTTTCATTTTGAAGAAATGATTTTTCCACTTGTTTCCACTATTTTTATGAAAAGCTATGACAAACAATGGGAAGTATTGAAAAGCAGAGGCTGTATTTAAAGACAACCAATGTGTCTATAGCAATGCATATTATGCAGCTCTCGCGTTTTCCCCCCACGCAAATCAACAACAAATCGTTGTCCCGCGGAGCCAGCCCGTCCAAAGGAGCCGGCTCCGCGAGACTGCAGGAAGAACCAAGGTGTGATATCGAGGCCGCACGACGCTGCGCACACACGTGCGTGTGCATAAACGCCCCTGAAACTGCTGGACTGCCGAAAATGGTGTCAATCAGTGTCACTGTCTGGAAGAGCTCCACAATCTGTTGTAGCGATGTGCGACATAAAAGAATTGATCGCTTGATGTCCATGCACACCTCCGACGAATCTGGAGTCGTTCAGTGAAAAAATCACTGCTTCAACTGGTTTCGGTAAGGAGATAGCGGGTTTATAGAAGAAGATGAAGATTATGATGAAACGAAATTTATCAAATCGTGTATGAGCGAATTTTCGTGCTGAGGACTGAAGATACGTATGAGGTCTTGGGGCACATGTATAGGTAGATATGGGCCCGTAGACTATTGCTAGTATGTTTTGAAGAGTCATTCTCACTTAGTTTTTAGACATTTTGTACGCGGATCACGTGAGATTTGACCTGTGCCATCCCTATATAGAGCGTCTAACAACGCTCTTAATTACCACAATACTTTTCTGATTATTACAACTCACTCTGAATCTTGGCCAGGTGACATTGACAGCTTCAATGGCTTGTGTCATTATATTATGAACTGAGTAGTAATAGGAGGAGACACTTCCAATGCTCTTAGCTGCATCCAATACCAATAGTAACACATTTCATACAAATTGTCTAGGTATTATATCCTGTGAGGTTTAAACTGAGAGAAATATTTTCCACAATCCTGCCTTCACATATTTCAGTAGTGACAGTGATGTTATGCACTAGACCAATATTTTCATTTACAGAGGTATTTAGCTGGGTGTCAGTGGTGGAAATTTCAGACAGAGACAGATATGGAGTGGCAGTCACAGTGTAGGTCACATCTCCACTGCAACTGACAACAGCCTCACTCCACTCCAAACTCAGTTGACACTGTTTTCTTCTGCTCACCAAATCATCCCAACTGAGGCGCGTAGGAACTCTGACCGCTCCACACCCCTAATATTATTCAAGAAGAAAACCCTAACAATCTTTCTTCCCCTTTATCTATTATATATCAGAGCGTCGGTAGACGCTCTATATAGGGATGACACGGGTGAAATCTCACGTGATCCGCGTACAAAACGCCTCAAAACTTGGCGAGAATGACTCACCATTGCTTGAAAATCACTAGCAATAGTCTACAGGCCAATACCTAGCTATACATACTCCCCAAGACTTCCTACGTGCCCTCAGTTCCCCACGAGAGAATTGGCTCTTACGCGATTTCACGATTTTCGTGTCATCATCATCATCATCATCATATTCTTCATCTTCCGGTTTCTTCTTCAGTAAACCCGCTATCTCGTTACCGAAAATAGTTGAAGTGCTGATTTTCCATCAAAACGTTTCCAGATTCGCCAGAGGTGTGCACGGACATCAAGCGATCGTCTCTTTCATGCCGCAAGTCACTACGGTAGATCGTTGAGCTCCTCCACGGTAGTCACTGAACAACGCCATTTTTGCTGCTAACTCAGCATCAGTGAGCCGCATGCGCCGAGGAGGGCGTTTCCCCAAAGCGGTGCGCGCGCATTCTCGTGCGTGAACCGGGTCTACGAGACTAAGCCAGGATGCCTGCAGAGGAACTCTTATCCTCCAGTGCCTTCTGTAAGTCAGTATACACATTTTTAACTGGCTAGCTTGCTTTTAGCTGTTGATTTGCACGTGGCAGTCTGCGCCGGGTTACGCGAGCCTTACAAATTAGCCTTCTTTCTTTGTCCCCGGTAGCTAGCTAATAGCTATATACCATTACTGAAGCCTGCCCATGAAATCGCCACCGTGTGCCACCACCTGATTATTGCGTCCTTGTTGGCCTGGAGACACTGCGAGTACATCCCCGCTTCAGGCGCAGCAGCCCATTAGCTACTGCTTTCATCAGTTATCTCTGCAACATACCCATGAACATCAGGTGACATCAGTGTTGTCATAAGCAGTTAAAAATAGTGGAAACAAGTGGAAAAATCATTTCTTCAAAATGAAAGGGGGATATAGGGATGGCTTGAAGCACCAAAAAGGAACAAACAAGGGGTCATTACACGGCAAGGTTGCACAAAGCTACATGACACCATCCCTATATCTTTGTTGTTATATGGCTCTGCAATAGAGGTTGTCTTGCATGTATATTTAGCTCAAGGGAAAGTTTGCTTATAAACAATAAAACAAAGATATAGGGATGGTGTCATGTAGCTTTGTGCAACCTTGCCGTGTAATGACCCCTTGTTTGTTCCTTTTTGGTGCTTCAAGCCATCCCTATATCCCCCTTTCATTTTGAAGAAATGATTTTTCCACTTGTATAATTATATAGTGTGTGTGGAAGGCTAAAAGAGTGCCATCCCTAGACATTATGCTGACTTCTTACGCCAATGATACTTGTGGGTTTTGGTAAAAATTTAAAACAAAAATTTATGCTGGGAAGACTGCACATGTAATTAGTCTTGGTGACAAAGAATTTTATAGCGGGTTGTACAAGGAATGTGAAAGTATAAAAGGGTTTAATTAAGACGAAGAACAGGAACTTAATTAAATCCTTCACTGTGTTCTACTATTTTGGTTCTATCTTTAGTAAATGATAAATGATCAAAGTGCAAACCCTCAGCGAACTGCGCATGCGCGGTACCGCTAATTGTTGGGCTGGGTTATTAGTATGCATTTACTCGTGGTCTCCACGCTAGTACGTAGCTCACGGAGATTCTGACACAGGCTAGCGACAGTAGTAGATTGCATGCGGGAATTGATACACACATTTCGTTGTGCCTTCTTGTGCCTCAAAGGTATATACAGGATCAGGTTGAGGTAAGCCAGTGCATTTATGCATATTATTGGCTTTTTCGCTTGTTTTCACAGCATATCTCTCGAACACAGTCGTTTCAGGAAATCACTATTTATTTTTCAGGCTCACACAGTTGTGAAGCCGTTGATATCGCTCATAAGCTGCCTCGCAGCCTATAGTGCCAGAATAAGCATCGACACACACACAGAACAAGTACTGTACCCCATCGTATGTGCGCCGAGGGTTAATTAAGCCCTGTGTACTGCCACGCTTCCAAGCAAAACATTACAGGGTGGTGACAGCGCGCATTCTATAAACAATACATACAAAATGCGCCAATGAAAATACTTACCAACAAGCTAACTCGACAGAGGATATTTGACCACTGCTTTTCTAGATCACATGTCTCATTAACACGATAGGCTCTTGCCCATTACTTGTGCAGCATACATCTGTATTAAATGTGTCACATAAAATTTATGTTGGTAACTCAAAAAGTTTAGTGCCATGTAGCTAGGCCTCACATGACTTCCTGTAGAGTACAGGAGATCATGTAGCTACACAAAAGCCTTTTTTGTGCTTTAACAGCAAAAGGGAGATGTCCTATGCACAAAAACAAATGAGTGCTCTCAAGAATCAAACATAATAATGGTCTGGTAACCGGGGACAAGAAGATAGTTACTTTGTAGTTGTTAGCCAGTACCAGCTTTCTGGGTTCAATTTCCGATGTATATAAGCTGGTTGTTTTCCTTCCAAAAATTAGTTTCTCAGACTTGACTGATTCATCCTGTGCACATAAATGCATGCAGTCTTGAGAACTAAACATGGTATTAGTCTCGCAACCGGGGAAGACCGGTAAGTGTGGGCAATCGTCACAACATTCTGGTATCTATTTCCGTTCTTTCTCTCTCCCTCCAGACCCACGTGCTTAGTTACTCTTTAGTGTTCATTGTAGACATAATGTATTCAATCACCAACATCAACATTACAACAATCATTGCACAGCATTTAGAACACATTACAGTGGCAGTTGATAAATACAGCAATGTGTGAAGTTTGTATTATGTTACATATTACAAAAGGTTAGTGATGGATAGTGCAATAATTACACATACTCGACCTGTAAGTGAGGTACGTAGTGGAATGGTGAACAATTAAACCATTATCGGAACTCTCTCATTAACTCACTGATAAGAGGATTAACAGATGGACCATGTCCTGAATCCCGAGGTGGTTCATCCATCATGGTGGTACTCTCACTTGTTGAACCTTAAATTAACACAGCTAAGGTGTCAAGCTACGAACACACATTACATTACGGACAAACCAATCACTCGGGGATTTCACAATTAATGATTTTTCAGGGATTATCCTCATTCCTGGCCCTCCACACTAGTTAAATGTATTGCACGTGATCCTTAAAGGCTAATTCACTTGCGTGAAAGTAGTCTGCTGGGGACAACTTTTTATGGGAATGTGACTTACATTCACCAGTGCTATAGCAACCAGCTCTAACCAAATCCTGTGTATATAGCTATACTGAGAAAGAAAACATACCTATTTCTATGTACCATTCCATATCTCTCCACAGGTATTGGTAACAGTCACAGCAACTATAAGCTCGTCACTTGTTGAGCTGAAGACTTTCGCAAGAGGAATCACAAAGTTGCCTGTTGTTGTATTCATTGGCAAGGTCACTAAGTCTGTGTTATGGCACTAGTCGGGACAGGAGAGGGTTCACATTGGAGCCAGTACCAGCTGCGCTGACATTGGTGCAAGATTAATAGTCGCATCAGGGCTACTCTCCAGAGAGAGGGGTGGTGCTGCACAAGCATACGAAATCTGTCAGTATAACTCTCATGCGTAAGATTAGGTGTGCTTGTGCATATAAAAAGAATGTTGGCTGCAGAGAGCTAGCTGGCGTCAAACAAATGTGAAAAATTGGTTTGTAATCAAGTCTATAGAAGAGGTTGCTATAGATATAGCTATAGGGGAGGTTTTTGTGTGGTAATGTCAAATGTTTTGGACAGCATCAAAGGATAAGACAGCTTGCTATGTTGCCAATTGGCTCGTTGACACATACAATATGACTGCCAAGAAAAAATAGTCTCTGGCAAGTCTTTCTAAGGGATATGAGATGGTTAGAGAAAGAACCAGGCATAGTGTCTTCAATACTTTTCGAGGACAACAGTTCAAATACCAAAGACTCACTACATAGTCGATTGCGTGCAGGACATAATAGTCCTACCCCAACAGATATTATGCGACACCGTTGTTGGTCTCCTTCTAGCTCACTTACGTTATGGTCATCGTATAGTGGCATTGTGTTCCTCAAAGCAACAAAAACATCATTTTGCAGTGACAAACTTGTCATCTTACCGTGTTGATAGATTTGAGTTTCCTCAAAAACCACCCAAAGATTCGACTAATACCATGCTCTTCTGTTGACTCGTGAACTAATGTGTCTCATGCAGAAGCCATTTCACTCCACTGCCCGATATCTCCAATATATGGGAAACGTGTTCCCACAGTGGCCATTAACATATACAGCACCTGAAAGTATGACAAAACAAATAGAAGAGAGCAGACATAGTATGATATTAAACGGCTTTTAGATGCATGTTTGACATACCAGGCAGCTCTATTGTGGGGCTAGTCGCGAGGGTAGTACGGTGGGGTTGTGTGCGCATGGGGGACAGCGCTGACTCAACCACAGCGTGCGCGACACCCGAATGCAGCCACGAGACCCACGGCACCGTCCACCAGGGCACGGTACTGCGTGCAACGCGCATCGCAGCCGCGCTCCGCGAGGACGACTACTCATGAGAACGCACAAGCTTGCAAAGGTATGTTATGCTAAGAGACACACAGTACTCGACACGTGGATCGTGGATTTTTTGCTTTTTGCACACTGCACACATTTACTGTCATGGATGTTGATGTTTTTTCATGGTCGAGAAATTGACTGGCGATGCACTAGAATAAAGGCTGTTAGTCCGAATCAAAAATATATTCTGGAGGGCATGACCCCAGACACCCCTTAGCTGACCCCTCCTTCTGCAAATGCTGGATCCGCCCCTTGCGTTTGAGTTTATATGCATTTGCTGGTGTTACCTGATGAGGCTTAGCACATGGAGGGGCTATTGAATAGTTGTGTGGTGTGTGTGTGTGTGACTGTGTGTATGTGAAGTGCGTGGTAGTGGAGGTCCTCAATCCACACACAAAGCTGTCATTACCTTATAACAAGTACATTTTCTGCTAGGACACTGATGAAACAACAGAAACGGATGTACCAAAAGCAGGAGGTCTGCAGGGTTCAACACCTAATGTGGAGCAATTGAAAGCTCAGTCAACACAGTGCATATAATAACCACACACAAAACCACACCCAAAACACTAAAGGTTAGAGGCAGGCGATACCGTGGACACTGCATGAAGAGTTATGATGGTTGGGAAGTATATCTACCACAACCACATCGTCACTACGATCCCTCCATGTGAACACCAATCTCTGTAGAGAAACACACACAAAACGGCACATCCCATACAACTCCAACAGGGCTAAAATTCATAGCAACACTCACCATGTCTCGTATGTTTTTACACGACGTGTAGTCGCTGCAGCGATAGAGCAAAATGGCCGTATTACTGCAGCGCATAATTAGAAAGAAATCAGATGATGTCATGCTGCCTATGCGTTAAGTAGACGTAGAGATCACTGTTATGGCAAATATTACTGAAGTTTCGTTTTCTCACCACTCATACTTAAGTCATCCGACATGACTCAATGTATATATATAAACCTCTCTGTAGAGGCTAGCTAAACCAACAATTGTATTCTAAACATGACAACAGAGAAGGAGTATAACTTATATGGTTCTAAGGGTAATAATGTAGGTATCTGCCTGCAGAGGTTGTGAGCATGCAGATCCAGGAAAGCAGTAGTACCCCTATGTCACAAATACTACTCGTGGATGGGATGCAAAGAGCAGTCCCAAGTGTGTCTATCCAAGTAGTTATCTAGTAGCTTGTTGTCATGTCACTGCACCCTAGCAAGACCATAGCAGCATAAACTCCGGTGGTACTAGCAGGTTAGCGCTTTTCTGACCCCAGGGGGGTGCCAGTGCAGCTGTAGCTAGCTACAACAACACTGCAACCAACCTTGCTTTTGTGATCGTTGCAGATGGATCAGAGGGTTAGCCACAATCGGTAACCATCACGCGTTGCGACGGAAGGAGAAAAAGGTTTACTCTGCAGACGTCTCGAGGTCGCTACTTCTCTTCGATGAGTTTCTCACGATATTGCGCACGGAAGCTCAACGAACTGTGGTTCGTGCGCACGGATGTTAGTATAGCGGAAACTGCGGTTGGGTCATGCGCACGGTGCGAGGCTCCACAAACTTATCTCAAAAATGTGCGTCAGGTAATTTGTCCACTATGTAAAATTTACTACAATATTTAACTATAGTAGGCGAATGCATGGCATTTTTGGCGAGCGGGAGCGAGCACACATGGCTGCATCTGCATTAGCCATCCAAGCCTATTTACAACTTGACCTTAGACCACGAAGATTGGAAAGAGGTATATACAGCCTCGGTCAGGTATTGAAGAGCGCAGCGAATGCCAGCGAATAGACGAGAGTTCTTTCGCTGAGATTCGCATCGATTATGACAGCTAGGCAGCGTGTAAAAAATATGCGCGTTCTCTTCCAGGAGTTCACTGAAACGACGTTCTCTTTCCCTCTCTCTTCGACGATGAATGGCACCCTCTCAGACTGACGCGAGAGTACGGAGCTATTTACACGCACGACACTTCAGGCCGCATGTGAAATTTTGAAATATTCGGATAAAAAGAAGCGCGTAATCCTGGAGCAGCGCACTTACACGACGTAGGCGGTCGGTCGTAAATCGCGCCGTTTGGACCACTAGGTTAGCTCGCTCCGCTCCGCCAATTATGTACTACACTATTGTATATGGACCTTACTATTGTATTTTCTCTGGAACATTTGCTAATCGAAGTATTACATTTCTAGAGTCGAAAACGAGTCGGTTGTCATAAATTTTTTTTTTTAAAATCTAGATCTGTCACCTAATTGGGGACAATTTTGTCATTTGTTCCAACATCATGGTAGGCATTGCAGTAAATTGACTTTGAAACTTATACAGTGGAAAAATAATTTCTTCCAAATGAAAGAGGATATATAGGGATGGCTCGAAGCACAAAAAAAAAGGAACAAACAAGGGGGTTAATTACACAGCAAGATACACAAAGTCTATATACATGACACCATCCTTATTATATATTATATATATATATATATCTTTGTTTGAATTATTTGCCTATGAGTCAATAGAACAAAATAAAGGGATGGTGTATCTTTGCTGTGTAATGACCCCTTGTTTTGTTTCCTTTATTTGGTTGGTGCTTCGAGCCATCCCATATCCGGGTCCCCCTTCATTAGGAAAAAATAAATTTTTACACTAATTTAATGAACAGCTGTGACAACACTACTTTTTTTTTATTGTCAATTGATTTGCATGGTTATGTGTTGACCATGGGGATGAGGAATTGTAAGCGTAGCTATGGCTGCTGATGCCTGAGGCAGGGGCGCAGTGATAGACACAGAGACAGTGTACGTCTCCTATACCAGGGCGTAAGGTTATGGCACTGTGGCACAGGGGGTGGGTGGTTTCAGGGGCAGGCTTTAGCAATGTAGTACAAGATGGGACACAAAATATACTCGATCATAGCCCAGCCCTCGACCCAGCCCATCAATTACTGATACTGCGCTCCATGGCCAGTGGCCGAGGGTTGCATTTGCTATTGATGCAAAAACTTATGTACAGAGTATGCCTCATTTTTCATCATCATAACAAGTACGAGTTTTGTGTTGATCTTCCGAGGTTTCTTTTCACTTTCACCTCCTCATATACAGGGAGTTGTTTATTCCTGTGATTCGCCTCTTCGCTTCTGATATGAGAGTAAAAAACAACAAGAAAATCCCCAAGGAAACGAAACCAAAAACACAGCTCCTCCAGTGATTAAGTACAAGTAAACCGCATCTTCACGTTTGTTTTTGGGACTCAAAAAGTATGTCTCTGCAAAAATGCTAAATCATAATTTATGATGCCAAAGCAGCTGGACACACCTGTTGTCAAAACATCTCTGAGTGAAGAGGGATCGGGGAACCAGCCCATTGGCTGTACACACAGCCACACGATTCACATCAATCTCTTTAGTCCAAACCTCCGACTACATTCGATAAGGGCTTTGAGCCTCTTTCGTGCCAGTGTGTGTAGAGTAGTACCATCCAGTGGTGCATAGTGGAATTTCACAGTCGACTGCAGAAGAATTGTTTAAAATATGTATTATGAATTCCTTAACCTTGTGGTGCACTCTAGCGCAGTGATATTTGGTGTCCATTCTCCAGACGAAGAGCACTTGGACACCATCAGTTCAGTTGGTACATAGTCTGTGTAGCATTGGGTAGATAAGCACTGTTCGAGAACACTTCTTTTTTATCTGTGTGTGAATGTGGCGGTTAGCATCGGAGCCATGGCAGTGTGTGCATCACTAATAGAGCAATGGACTATTTAACAGTTAGTGATAGTAGTGGGGGCAATTCTTTGTGTGTACCTCAAAAAACTTATGTGAACCTGATTTCCGTGGTCTGGAGTCCAGGCTATTGACTTGAACATTGCAAAGACAAGTTCCTTCATCATCAGGCACACACAA